AGACAGAAGCCACACCAGAAAAAAAGGCAGAAGCGACCCCCAAAAAAAAGACACAAGCGAACCCCAAAAAAATGACAGAAGTGATCGGGTACCCCCCTACAGTAGCAATTGCTGCAATTTACAGTATACGCAACCATAAAGGAAGAGCCAAACTTAGCAAATGAGACCGGTGACGGCCAGATTTAGGACAAAGCTTTTCCGCCATTGAAAGTTACAGGGGTGTGAATCTTCACCGGGCGTTTCCTGTATGATGTCCTTGCCACTGATCCTGTTCCGCATTTGCTGCACGTAAAATGCGCAAACGCGTTCGCAACAAGCATCTTCAAAGTCGCCTGCATGGCTGAGAGGCTGACCAGATTTATCCAGGCGCAGAGTTCACGCGAACCGCAAGTCTGTCTCAGCCCAGCAAATTGTGATCCTTGAGGTTTCTCGGAATTGCCTGCCGCACTGGAGCAGCAAGGGAAGGGAAGGACTCACGGCGTGTTTTATCCATGGCGTGCTTGTCGCGAAACAAGAACTGTAAACCAATTTCAAAGACGACATCTCCGTTTCAGCTATCCAATGTAGGAAGACTTTCTGCCGGTATTTATGTATTTATGTGTTTGTGTGTGTGTATTTGTATGTATGTGTATTATTGATACACGCACACACACACACACAATTCAACATTTAAGAGGTTCTTTGGCTTTCATGTTCCGTTGCTTCCTTGTGCTGTTCTTCTCCTCGTAATTATCTTCCAATCATCCTGCTTAAACGGGTTCCACATGTCCACAATCATCATAGCGCTTGTGCAAGCTTGTTACTTAGACTTTACAGTTTAGAGGACACGCCTGACGGTTTCCAGCAGAAGCTTCGAAGTTTGCCGCTCACTTGCAGTCAACTTTAGCAAAGGCAAAAGGAGCTTCGCTGAGCTTTGAGCTTCGCTACAGGTCCGCTGGCAGCAAGCCCCTGGCTTGCGAGGCGGTTCTGGGGATCCTCACCTTGAACCAGGACGATGCTTTGCTGTGCTGCACATCACGTCGCGTCGTCTCGTCACGATCGCTTCCTGAGGATCTTTTTCTGCTCGTCGTGACGGATGCCGTCACCGTCGCAACTCGGAGCTTGAAGACTTTGAGAGGGCAACCCAAAGGAGCCCTGGTCCCGAGGTCGATGGCAAAGAGACGATTCAGAGAGTTCGGAAGTGCGAAGCTCTTCCGGCCGGTGAGAACAGCAGTGGCTCGGCCCCATCTCAAGACCCCATTTCAAGCGGGGTGCTGGTAAGCGCGAAGCGGGCGAAGTGAGGTGAGGGCGCCGAGGCAGCCGCGACAGCAGCTGAGATCCGCAAGGAAAGTGAGAGTGGCAACGGTAATTGAATTGCTTCTACAAAAGGAGATGATGGACTGATAGACTATTTTTTGTTGGTCGTCATGGCCTACAGCAAAGATCAGGTAATGTTGAGAGCCACCGGTCCTGTGTTGTGCAGATGCAAGACAAGGAGCAAGGAGAAGATGCAAAGCTAGCAACATATATCATGTGGGGGATTCTGTAGATTGGGGTGCTCTTTGGGTTTCCAAAACAGTACACGACTTTGAAAGTAAAGACCCCAGAAGCAACGACAGAGAATGACCCTGATTCCTGCTCTGCAATATTTCAGTATGTCGGAGACCAAGGTTACGCAGCTGCTCGAGGAGCACTTCTACTTTTCGCACGGTTTTGATCTCACTCGCAGGCTCCAGCAACGGGTGGAGCCTAGACATTTGGCAGTGGGTTCTGCCACAAGAGTCGAAAATTCTTTGGCACTTTGCTGGCTTGCGCCACCAAGGAGAGAGAAGCGAGGCCTACACTGCTCCATGGCAGGGTCATGAGCATAAAATCATCCCAAACGCTGTGGTTGCTTTTTGTGCAGAGCTTGGCCGGTCACTACCGTATACCCCCGTCATTGAATTGCCAGATCTAGTGCAAGTGAATGCAAGATAGGTTGCACGCAGATCCTCGATATGCCGGGAACCTACTGTCGGCTGTCGGCTCATGTTGTCTGCGCCGGTGGCCACTTGTTGGGCCCCTAGGTTTGGAACCTGTCTCTTTGCGAGCCGTTGCTGGGCCAGGGAGCTGCTCGGCTGCTCCAGGCACCTGCACCTGCCGCGTGCACGGGCATGACTGAGGTTACAGAGCGATGGTTCACACCTGTCGCTTGGCTCAAGTAGTAGTCTCGCGGAGACAACAAGCGGTCCTGTCAGCTGAAGAAATTCTCAGGTCATGCAAGGACACCTGGGCGAAGCTGTCCTGGGGTAGATTTTGAGGGCCCTACCAAGCTGCCTCGGAACCCTTGCGTTTGCAGGATTCGTCCAGCAGCAGGAGCTCAAGACACTCCAGACACCTCAACCCCTCCGGTTGCTGCTGGTCGCTCGCAGGCCAGGCGCCTCTGCTGCTCCTTAAGCGATGCTCCAATGCGCAAGGAGCCGGTGGCATGCGGGAACCCGCTACAACGCACGCGGCCTGGATGACGACTCCGAGGCCTTGGCACCGCAGTCACCCCATCTCCGCAACTGCCCTCTTGGAAGGCTGCCAACTGGGTTGAGAGCGAGATGCTGGTGAGACGTCCAGGAGGCTCAGAGCACTGGCTTGCGCTGACGCAGGCGCCGGCACCCACCCGAGACAGACAGTGAAAGAAATACTTCTGCCTTTGCTGTTTCGCCCCCCCATAACGAAATCCTTGTCCAAGTTCTTGTCTCAAGGCCTGCACGTGCCGAACGCATGCCCGAACGCATACCGGAGGCACCTAAGCCTCGAGCCGGATCATAAGATGCGTTGCCGGAATAAGCCTTCAGGAGATGCACAGCAACCACAAGCGTACATCAAGAAACCACGGACAGAACACGTACAAGACCAGCAGCAAGAAAAAGAGCGATCTAAGACGTCTTCAACCATCCCCCGGTCAGCAGCGTTTGCAGGTCCGGGGCAGTGCGCCTGTTCACTGGGAGCAGAAGCCCAGCTCAGGTGTCACGGTGACGCGAGGCTGGGCCTGCGCAATAGCTTTAGCAGGCCGTAGTAGGCCTTTAGGCTAGATTGGAGCCTGAAGCTTGGAGACCTGCTATCTGCGGATGCATGCGGATGACCAAGCAGATACTGTGATACCCGACTTGCCCCTAGAAATAATGATCCTCGACGACAAACGGACCACATCAAAGTTGCAAGAGCTGTCGCCTGCACTAAGCAGTAGTAGCAGCAGTAGTAGTAGTAGTCGTCGTCGTGGTGGTGGTGGTGGTGGTGATGTGAAACCCGAGAGTTTACTGCCCCAAAGCCTCTAAACCTGTAAAACCCGAGAGTTTTACTACCCCAAAGGTTTCAAAGCTGCAAATCCTCACAGTTTCTGCGCCGAAAGCCTCAAACCTGTCAAACCCAACAGCTATCCTACCCCAGCAGCTTCAAGCCTGTAAAACTCTACAGTGAAAGCTCCAAGCCTAAGTCTGCCCGCGGACTCCCCATTTGTTCCCTAAGCCCTAAGAAGCCTAAGCGCTTGATCCATTTTGAGTACCACAAGGCCCAGGGTCACCTGCGGTTCCCTACGAAGCCGAGGGTTGTGTTGTGTTCGAGAGCCCCTGCCTGTGTTGAAGCCCCGGTGCATGTTTGGTGGCAGCATTTCACTGCGTTCAGATGGTGTTTGACGTGTTTGTGGTGCA